ACCAATGTACAGTCAAATTCCGTATCCAGACAACCAAGGTAGGCAAGTTGATGGGCAATATCCATACCATCAGGAGGAAAATCGAATGTACGTAATTGCTAAAGTTGGTATTGGCAGGCGATGGAGTCTCGCGTGCAAAGCGATGAGCTCGAGCTGTGGTGTTCAGCTGGACGAGACATGCAACAACATACGCAAATTGGTACGGTACAACCGTCGAGACAAAAAAGAGCAAGACTCCTGTCGTAATAAGCCGTCTCCGAGGGGACGAAGGCGTAAAAGCCGGTGGCAAGGCTCGCCTTTTCTCCTGGCGTTGAATTACGGGCCGAACCGAAATCCAGCTATAGACAGTACCAATTATCCAAGTAAGGACCAGCACTATGTAGTGGAGAGTTATACATGCTCCAACGCAAATGATGCCAATCATCGGGATCAGGAACCAGAAGAATGGATCCGAAGTTCCTACCAAGAGGTCGTTGCGCACGAAGTCGACAGCGGTTGTGCTATTCCGCCAGAGCCAAGGACCCGGAGATCTCGTCGAGCTCGACTGGCCCATCGAAAGCGACAAAAGCGTCATAGACAAAAGCAGCATCGGTAGCGACTGTTTGAGGCAGCTGTCCAGACTCTCGGAGAAAGGGATAAATACCCCAGTGCTGTCGTACACCCGAAATTGCTTCCGTAATACTAGTGCCACCACGAGCAAAGGGAAGGACGCGAAAATTGTACGGTAGCGCATGTACAACTTCCCAAGACTGCCCATTAGATCAACGGTGAGATAGATCGAGATGTTTGAATCACATGTCGGATCCGTCCAGAACTGAAGGCTCAAGCCCTCGTCGAAGCGTGTAGACTTCAACGGCGGGGGCACGTAAGGCGAGACACCGTGAAGGCTGATTTCTACATCGCGGGCATTCACGAAGTATTTTGACTCGTAGGGCTCGGACAGATACTGTCGAACCAGCGGGGTAAACAGCTGCTTCCGCTCACCGCAGGTCAGGCCCCCGATCTTCAGATTATACGCCAGCAAGCTGCTTTGCACAGACGGTATCTTTACTTCGGTCATCATTGGCCGACTAGCGGGAAAATGGAGAGATAAGCCGAATGCGATAAGACGCCTAAGACTGATGTGTCGCGTTAGGTGGGTTTTGACCGTATCAGTAAACTCGGCCACCAGCCATCCGGACATTGGGGATCCGGTCTTGTCGATGACTGCAACAAAGTCGTAACCTGCAATATCTTTGATGTCGTACTCAAGATAGGAAAATGGTGGTATCCGCCACTTGCTATCCTTGAAAAAGGGGTTCTCGGTATCGCGAGTAGAAGCTGGCAGGGTTACAACGTCAAGTGCTGCGTTTTTGCAAGCCATTTTCGTTGGACGTTCACTGCCGCTAGATAGATCTATGTTGACAGAGAGCGGCAGGCTGGGTTGCGTTATTTCCATGGGATAGGCGCTGCAAAATAAAACCTCCAGTCTTCCGTCTTCGCCTGACTGGTCTAGTCTCCCGTCCGACAGCAAGGTAAACTTCTTGCCCTCGGAAGCTTCGCTTGTGGGGATTGGGAGAAGGTGAACCTTAGACCGCCTGTCCAATCCCAATTTGCGAAGTACAAGGCGTTCGCCCTGTGCAACGATGTCAGTTGCATCGTCTCCGATGGTGAGCAACGTATTCGGTTGTGTCGCCGGCAAGGTCTTCTCAGTAAAGCTCTCCATTCCGGTCAAAAACCATTTCTTGAAGGCCTTCATCCTCTCGGCCCGTCGCTTGGTCTGTGATTTCTCGCGATTATCGACAACATCGTACAACGCGCGAACAATCACCTTTCGGAATTGGTCACACCATGTAATCGCTTGATGATCCATACTGGTCCAGACATTTGGAATCGTTGACGTGAAAACAGTAAAACCGTGAGTTTCCGGCGCTATAGATTCCAAACCGGCATAATCCGATGGGACGACCGTATCCAAACCACCGCCAGCGATAGACACCAGAGTAACATGTTCTAAGGGATTTCCATTTGGCGATTTTCTCAAGTAGGCGTGTCTCCAGTAATCGTTGATATCTTGGTAGATGCTAACGATTTGGGGGTCAAACGTGACGGGCGGGCGCGCGTGCGGCGCGGACATGGTGACGATGGTATTGACGGAATTCGGCTGGTAGTTTTGCATGATGAACATGGTTCGGGCCACAATTCCTCCCATGGAGTGGCCTAGAACAATGACGGAAGACGGATCAGGAAGGTCGGGATCTCGCTCGGATATCTTAGGGTCTAGGTAAAGCGAGAGAATGTATCTAATAGCTTCGTTCAAGTACTCGGCTTGGTCGAGCATCGTTTGGCCATGGAAAGCTGTGAAGTCTTCGTTGAAGTCGACAGTAAAGAAATCGAGGTTTCTGACGCCCCCATTTAGAGCAGCCGTATCGTGCTGCAGGATATCGTGAAAGTACCTGGATGATTCAGATGCAATAGATCGAATTTGTTTGTAGCTTCCGGCGTTTCCTGGAACGAATAGAACCGGTATCCCTTTTATCTACACGTAACGTCAACAACAACTAGGGGTTGGTTTTCTCGTCGATCATACCTTGGGGCCATTGTCCAACCCTTGCTCTCGATACAGGTATAGCGAATATTTGCTCGCGAACCGAGTATGCTCCGTGTCGAAATCATGGAACTTGGCGTAGGACGGGCTCATCCACGACATGCGACATCCTTTGCGATCGCAGTGTAGAGCTGCCGACGAATACAAAACGGCGAACAGCAGCGCGAGACCTGTCACGCTTGCAAAAAGGGTCACGAGAGATATGGCCCACGGACTCCGAGGCCGCGGCTGTCGGCTCCTGGCCTTCCATGCTGCCATCCTCTCGCCCTGATTTAAGGGGCCGTCGGGAGACCCCGTCGCTAGCACGGGAGGGGAGTTCGGGTCATCTTTCTCGACGGAGGCATCCCGGCTGTTCGAGAGCTTCCAATTGACATTGCTGCTCGGCCGGCGGCTCCTCGTGGACGGGGATCGCGTGCCGGAATTCCGCGGACGGTCGGACTGGCGGATGTCATGGGAGTGGCGGGCAGAGGAGGCGGTGTCGTTTCGTCTTAGCTGGCCACGAGGACGCGAAGCTCGGAGAGAGGCATCGGCGCTATCTTCGGACGACCCTGACGAGCGCCTCTGCATGGAGGAGGAAGAGGCTCTCGTAGGAGGCCTCTCTAACGGAGTCGCAACACAAGCTCGGGAGAGGGGCGGGAGGGTGGCCAAGGGGTGCGCTCGTGGTTGGGTTCTCGATAGAGTCGTATGGGGTTGGACGGGTGTTCGGGTGTTCGTCGTACTCGGTGGACACTCTGTGTGCGTGGACACTCTGTGAACGGTTGGACGGTTTCGAGGAGGAGGCCAGGCTCACAGCCAATAGGGCGGCAGGGCGGCAGGGCGGCAGGGAGACGGGACGACGGGGTCAGCTGTCGCGCGAGACGTAGGTATGACGGGGCTTGCGCAACAGGGGAATGTTGGCCAAGCTCTCGTACAGGCACTCGTACAGGCTTTCGTACAGAGATTCGGTTTGTACAGAGATTCGAAGGGACCGACAATTTTATCGAATCGACAATTTTATTTTAGGGAGAGGACTAGACTAGACCAGACCGTACGCACGTAGTAGGTAAACCCGTGATCCGTATGGTGTTGTTGTTTTTATTAAAAAGAAAAACGAATGTGTAGTACCCTAAATCACCAATCTCGCGCCCATCCCAGGTGGTAGAGTCCAAGGTAGTTAGTTCCAAGGTTTGTCGTTGAGGTCGAGATGTCGCTGATAGCAGAGGGGGAAGAAAGCGGAACGTATGGATATGGGATGGGGGTGCTTTTCGGTGCTTTCGAGAATGGAGATGCGATTCGATCCGGCAATGCTACTTTACATGTATGTACATATATGGTAGGCTATGGGTAGGTACTGCTAACTGCTAATAAACCACTAACTTATTAACCTAGGCATCGACAAGTCACTTTTGTGAGGCCTTTCCGTTTTGGCCAAGACGCAAGGGTGGCTGGCTACTTGTATGTACTTATACATATATGCTATCTATACGGGACTGTATGTACCGCATATGTATGTCAGTTATGTACATAGAGGCCGCTGGAACTACGTAGTAGCAACCTTGGAAGCTACATATGCACTGGAGACGGGCCCTTATCGGAACTTGAATTCTGGTGGGCCATCACCGACCAAAACACCGGCTCAACCCAGCTCTAATAGGCCACCAATGACGTTAGCCTGGCCTGCTTGGCTTTGCTGGGGTATTACGGGATACTTACACCATACATGCGTACTTATGTACATGTATGTACTTACCTACAGCCGTTGCAATATTGTAACTCTACGATATGTACATACGTACGGAATAGTAGAGTGTCTACTATATAGCACATCATCACATCCAACCTGGGATTTTATGCACACATGCGCGCACATTGCATGTGTGCGTCGGCGAAGTGCAGCACCGCGGTCTTCCACTGGGGCGGGTTGGCTGCTTGAGCAGCCAGGCGGCTTGGGGATGGATGACAGTCAGCAGACCGAAGTGCCAAACGTCCCGAGCGAGACATCTGCCCAGGTGATGATCCGTTACTTTACAAAAGTATGTATGTGTAACTACAGTATGTACGTACTTACATGTACCTATCTAGGTTATTCATGACAGTGTCTAATAACTGCTTGTTACATCTTATGCAAAGACACGAGATTTCGATGTGTTAGATCGCATACTCTACCAAGCAGGATTGACAAACATTTGTAAGCGGGGGATACGGGGGATACGGCGTCGAGAGGGGTTCCGGTAGCCTTGGCGATCAGTAAATCGCGGGTTTTACGGATGACACTGGCAACCCGGCTGACTGGGAAAGGGGAAAGTCTTGGGTTTCTGTGACAAAGATAGTTAACGTACTTGGTTAGCTTCTGGTGTCTAGATTATATCAGCGTCTTAAGCGACTATAACGAAAAAATTTTCTTGTCGTTCTCCAATTATATCCATTCTGCGATGGGGGGCTGGCGCAACGGTAGCGCGTGAGATTCCAGTGATGGAGCTTCCTCAAGGTTGGGCGTTCAAATCGCCCGTCCCTCATTTCTTTTTGTCTTCTGGTCTTCTAGGCCTTTATTTTTACCTAGGTTGGGTGTGTTAGAGGTTAGGTATATCATATATGCATGTAGTTAGTCATTCGAGGTCATCTGAGTTGATGAGCTTCGTCAATGCATAATACTCAAGGCCTCAGTTCTTATACTATGAAATGTGTGGCTGCGTCTGCTTTTTGTACCTAGGTATTATAAGCTGTGATAGATCCAAGACACCACTGATACATGAATAAAGTCCGGACACCAGTCATTTCGCTGACGGGAGTTAAACCTTAGCCGGATACACTGTTTTCTACCCAAAACGAAGTGTTGGTAATTATGAAACTAGGAGTAACACTGTATGAGGAAGGTCCTGCACAATCCTTCGGACAGAGGCTTCGTGCAGAGATGCTATATGTTTTGGGTATCTGATGGGTCGAGTGGCTAGCTATGAGTAGATTGAGCTCGTGATAAATCATATCCGAACTGTTCAGTGTCCACATATCAATCAAGCCCTCCCGCTCTCATCGCGAATAAATCGGATGTCGCAAGGTCAACCCAATCTTAACCTTCATCTACATGAACATTGAGTTAAATCTATATATATTCAAGGCGTTTAATTAATTTGCTGGGAATGGAAAGTATATATCTTTATAATTTACATGTTGATGCTTGACGAGGTGACTTGAGACGACGTTCCGCCATGAAATCCTCCGAACCGCCCTGAGCGCCGCCATATTGATTGCATGTGGCAAAGGCAATAAGTCAAGCTCGTGTTGACGAGCGTGCATGAAACGAAACATCAATGCAGGCTTAGCAACAATTGCCGGACTGTTCCAGTCACTAGGCAATATGTATTCACAGAATCCGTACTAGAGTATCGGTAGTCCGGCATGCCTTTTCCAACCACCTTTCTAGTCACAGTATCTAAGACATGCCGATGGAACCAGAGGGGGCCTCTTTGCACACACGGAAAGCCTCAGGACGCCAACTTGGGTAGTACACTACCGGTTTTTTTTTTGTTGAACGCCTGTTAGGGCTTCTTAAGCTATGATGAACACAAAAGCTAATCCACACATCCCTCAATACGTACGTTATGTGCTATGAAATGTGAGGACGTATTCTGTAAGCATCTAAAGTTATGGAGAAGCATAGTGAACAGTGCTCAAGTATAACTTCAGAACAACAATAGAGAGCAAAGGACAGCTTAACTTTCTCATTTTATTAAAGCTTTTTATCCTTCACTGTAAATGTCTGTATCATGAGTCTTTTCAGCTGAAAGCATTCAGAATGCCATTCTAAACAGCAAGATATATCCATAGGTTGACCAAGACAGCGGCCTGCGGAAAATAAACTTCAGCTGTATTCTGACGAGCTCCCCACTACCTCTCTAGTCTAGCCCAATCGCATTATTCACCGCGTCCACCCAAGACAAGGGGCGTCTTGGGACCGTCCTACCATAACAAATCGTCAACATGCTTCTCAATTGCCTCATTTGAACCCCCTTCGAGCTCATCCTGCGATCCAATGGCTGACCTTATCATCCGTAATCTCACTGCTACTCCACTCGAGCTGAAGCTCGTGGAAAGATTCGAAGGTCAGCCCAGTGAAAAAGCTACGGGTAACATCACCAGAAGAGTCAGCGGCTTCTTCTATTCAACTTCATCCGCCGTATCTCCCAATGTTGCACTACAGGGCGAAGCCAGAGACCGTCACAATGTTTCCATACCAATCGGGCCCTTTGAGACCCGCAACACAGAAGTTCGCGCGGCAGACCCCGGGCGGGAAGTCATTCGCCTGACGTTTGAGTCCGACGGCTACAGATATCAAGTGGACGTGCCGAGTTCTTCGCAGCGCAGCACAGTTATGGAAAGGCTAGACGGTGCTCCTAATGAGTACACGACGGTCTACGTACAAGCGGGCAGCTGTCTCGCGATCTTCAGCTCTGCCAACCTCTCGGGCTGGATGCGTGAGCTGAGAGACGAATACCCCCTATCGGCGCTCTCCATCCCGGGCACTCACAACAGCCCGACATGTCACCTCGCCTTACCTTCGGTCCGGTGTCAGGCTGTCGGTATCCGGGAGCAGCTGGACAACGGCGTGCGGTTCTTCGATATCCGCGTGAATGTCAGCTCGGGCTCCTCGGAGATGACGCTTGTGCATAGTGCGTTCCCGATCTCGCTCACGGGCAACAAGTATTTCAAAGACATGCTCGACGTCATCTACGCCTTCCTAGATGCCAACCCCTCCGAAACACTAATCATGAGCGTGAAGCGCGAGGGCACAGGCAAAGGTACGGACCAGCAACTATCGAGGATCCTCAAGGACCGCTTTCACGGGGACGGGTCGCGGTGGTACACGGAGCCTCGGATCCCGCGACTGGGCGAGGTCCGAGGCAAGATCGTGCTGCTGCGCCGCCACGTCAACGACCCGAGCCTGGACGCCGAATGGGGCGGGCGGGGCTGGGGGCTGGACGGCAGCGACTGGCCGGACAACTGCGCGGACGGGCGGGTCGCGAGCGGCATCGCGCGCGTGCAGGACTTCTACGAGGTCGACCAGAGCACCAACATCCAGAAGAAGATCGCGCTGGCGCGCAGCCACCTCGAGCGCGCGTCCGAGCCCGTGTGCGAACTCCCCCCGGCTTCGGGGGACGAGGACGGGGACGGGGATGGGGAGGCGCCGAAGCCGCCGCTGCCGTTCTTCATCAACTTCCTGAGCGCCAGCAACTTCTTCAACGCCAACTGCTGGCCCGAGAAGATCGCCGCCAAAGCCAACCCGGCCATCATCGAACACCTGTGCCTGCGGCACGGCGAGGACGGCAAGGGCCCCGCCGGCCTGAAGGTCGGGGATGCGAGTACGGGTCTCGTGATCACAGATTGGGTTGGCCAGGACGGAGACTGGGATCTCATAAGGTGTATAGTCGGGTGGAACGCGAAGCTGCAGCTGAAGCAATAGACTGTTGGTATATTTAGCTAAACTTGTGGGTTCTCTTGCCCGGATTGCGTGGGCTGCATATTGGTTGCTAGGGAAAGCCCATCTTGGGAGACTTAGATCGATGGGGTAAACAAAACTCGGTCACCGACTGTTTGGAGACGGAAGGAATAGACACCAGCCACAATTGTCACATACATATAGAGTGTAGTGCAGATACATGTAAGGAGTTCGATAGGGTACCTAGAAAAATGCTCCATAATGATAAATTCCTATTTCGTAGACTACCTAGGTATATCATTGATATCATTTATATGGAAGAATGGTCTCTCATATCTACATGTAGGACAGTCTAATTATAGATGGATACCTAAACATCGTTCTGTTTACCTAAATTATACAGCTCGGTCATGAATAACCACCTCGGAAATGATAGCACAGTAATGTAATCACATGCCAAATCCAGTCAGAATCTTATTGACATAATTATCAAACGACAGCTGCTCATGCCACGACCTTTTTCCAGTTAGACCTTTCCACGATATAGCTACCCTAGGGCTGCCCAGGCTGCCAGGTACATACCTGGTTCCACAATTGAGGCTGATGAGCAGAAAGTCCAGGACTGCTGTCGCCAAGGATCCGAGGTTGCGGTGGGGCTTTCAGCTGCCAGCGTATGAGCACCAGCCACATCTAAGCAACGTCATTCTGATCTGCGCAAAAGTCCCACTGCGAACATCTGCGAGAGCTTCCATCAGCTCCACGCTCCACGACTGAATTCGGTCAGACAGACTTACGATCCTCTCGTACGTCTCCTTTGTTTTGTCCAGTGCTCCGCAATGTATTAAATCTCAATTCTTATTAGTTGCTGCCAGGTTCCTTGCCTTCCTCCCATTCGTCGCTTCGTCTAGTCTCTTACATTACGCCGTTACCCGCAAAATCCCCAGTCGATTAGCCTTTGCGTGTGAGCCACGAAACAAACTCAATCTCTAATAAGTTGCCATTGGCGGGAGTTGCGGAAACCTGACTGATAGCCAGCAAAGCTTAATCTGCATGTTGCCATAAGTACTATAACGCCCCTCTGCCTGTTTCTCTTAAGGTAAGTTCCCACTCCCGCGGGCTAGCCCAGGCACAACCCTCAACTCTGTATCTCTTATGAATCATGGCCGGTGACAAGAGCCCTGCCGCCCGCCGCCGGGGGCTTTCGACTAGCTCCCAGAGCTCCAAGCTCCCGCAACCCGGGCAATCGGGTCAGAATGATAATGTGCAACAAGCTGACCCTAGCCCCAGTTCGCGACTGTGTTGTCAACCGAAACGCAGCACGCCCGACTTGAAGGCTACGCCCGAGCAAAGCCGGCAGGGCGATTCCAGGTCGACAAGTGCTGTATGTGTTGGTCTGATCAAGTCTACGGCCAGAATTGTTCTGACCAGGTTTTCGTCCCAGGCAAGCCTAGGAAGCAGCGAGCTCCCTAGCCCCGTCACACCACCTAACAGGAACATACCGGTGACCAAGTCCAGCACGCCGCGCATAGCCCGAGAGGACCACATCTGTTCGCCGAAGCCGCCAATTCCACCTAAGAACTTTCCTAAGAAGAAGGGGAAGTCGACGACACCGGCCACGCCTCCCGGTCCGGAACTCTCTCCTCTGACCCCCAACTCTGTGACACCCAAGGGTTTTGGTAATAAGGGCAGCCCATCCCGCCACGTCTTCAGACGCAAGCTTTCCAAGGCGAAAGAGAGAGAGATCGCCAAGATGAGCAACGAGCCAGATGAAAAACCGAAGAACGTCGCCCCAGAGGCCAAGGAAGTATCGGAAACACCAACGGCTAAGCCGGAACCGCAAGGCTCGGAAGGCGCCCCAAAGGTAGAACCCCCCAAGGTAGACCCCCCAAAGGAAGACCCCCCAAAACAAGAACTCCCACAGGAAGAGCCCCTAAAGGAAGAGCCCCTAAGGGAAGAACCCTTAAAGGAAGAGCCCCTAGAGCCCCTGAAGGAAGAGCCCCTCGAAGAGCCCCTGAAGGAAGACATCCCCAAAGACACTCCGACGGGAGATCCCCCAAAAGAAGATGTTAAGGTGCAGCCCGA